AGATGGACCCCTGAAACCAGCCCCATGTATATATAAATAAACCACACATGGTCTGGGACATGAAGCGCGACTGGAAACTTGAGCCAAGAGTCGTGAACTTGCATCAACAACAATTTTGAGATACTTTTGAGGTTTCTTAGGATGATGGCTCTCAAGAAACCATTGGAGGATCCGATCCAACAAGTTTTCGAGTTTTCTCTTCCAAACCTGTTGGATCTGGTTACCATGGCGCGCCCACCTTCACGTCCCTCTGAACATGCGGACTCTTCAATGAGCTCACCATGAGCTAGTGCCCGTTTTCGCATGCAAGGGAGTGCTCTCTTTGGTGGGGTTTTGAACATGGATCCACAAGACCCTTCTCAGGTTCGGTTCGTTTACCTGGACACCCAGGCACTGGAAAACTAATCAATAAAGTGTTAAAACATGTTAAAACACATTCACTCTTGTATAAGGGTGGATCCGTGGATCCATATCCAAGAAAAAAAGACCGTTTGGGACTTGCCATCTTAGGCTGAGAAAAGGCCACGGCTTCGGTGGTTGACCTGCTGTCCAACTGATCGGTAAAGATTCCGCCAGTGCCGCCATGTCTGGGATGACTCGGAATGACGCAAGACGCGGAGAAGAACACAACAACATCAGACATCCCACTTTGCACATCTTTGCACTACATAATGAAACAAAGATACCAGTTTTTTCCAAAATACCATTCCAATATCATTTTCAGTTTGCATCATTTTCCAGTTTGCACTTGCCTAGAGGTGATTGGAATGACTTGCTCCCAATACCTCGACATGTCGACCCGTTGGGTCTTCCCGAGGCTCGAGGTGCAAGCAACACCCGTCGCCAAGAAGCCACAGGTCACGTGTGACGGGAGTAGGTTGAGAGACCTGAACGTGGAGGACCCTGGTTTGTGGTACATATATATGGGATGGGCTAGAGGCTATAGGGCTATAGGGCTATGGGTTTTCAACATTTTTCATGCATGTAAAAGTTTTGATGGGCGATATATAGGGCCGTTCAACCTTTCTATAGGGAGGTTGAGTGACGGACACCCCTTCGGAGGGCCGGGACGGCCGGGGTGGCTTCGGAGGGAGCGACGCTCGGGCGGGTTGCAGACCGCTCGGGGACAGCGGAGCTCGGAGCGCCGATTTGGAAGTTCACGAAGAGCCAGCCAGCTTATGCCAATGCAGACTCTTGATTCATCAATCCCCCCATATGAAGACGCTTCGCAATCTTGGGGTGCGCCATCTGAAACCACAAATCCCCCTAAGAAACTGGGACATACGAAGCTGAGGGAGCACCACTTGGCAGAGTCAGAATTGGCAATCTCATGGAGTTGAGCCTTGGTCTTTGATCCAGAAGATGAGACCCTGTAATATCCTGTAATGTAGACTTGTTCACAAGTAAAGCTCTAGCTCACATATAAAGAAGTCTTACAATCCAAACGGGTCTTTTAATCTAAGACTCATGCATCACTCCAACAAAAATTGGACTCAATGCCAAGAAGACAGGACAAACATGGACAAGAGATATAGTTGCTGCTGTTTTTTGGTTCAGGAGCTTGTGTTCTGCCCTTCAGACGCCAAAGACCAACTTGGGGGATTATGCAATCTACTCTCCATCCACCATAGCTTCTTGGGGTCAACGAAGGTGGCTCAGGTGAGCCAAACCAACCTCCAAACGCCCGCAGCGTTTGGCCAGGACAGGGCTTCAGGCTCAGAGTGGGGATGGAGGTCCAGTGCCGGATTCGAAAGACTCAGAAAGCCGCTGTTTGGCCAACCCAGTCAGTGGATAACCTTTAACCGGTCTTTGTTTGGGAATTGTTTTCCCCATGTTACCCCACCAAAATCCAACAGGTGGCACCGTGGCAAGAGCGCAACCTCTATTTTTTCCATGTTTTTCCCTCGCGAGGGCGCAAGTTGGAGATGTCGACGTGAAGTTCCTCCGGTGGGTTTCTGAGCTGGTCTCGCACGGCTCGGACGTCCCGTTCGAAGGCCCGCTTGAGTCCATCAGGTGCTCTTGCTTGTTTAAAGAGTCTGTGAGCTCCAGCCTTCTCCAGCTGACCTTCTTCCAGACATCCCTAACAGCTAAAAATACCCACACCCCCTGCACTCCGCCACCAAGTCAAGAAAAACAGACATGGAACATGTTCCATGGTTTTTCCAGCCCCCCCAACGTGTTCCAGTGGTTGAACCCCGCCACCCACCACATGTTTGACTGGAACACTGTCCCCCGCTGAAGAAAGAGAAGATGCCGGGCGCGACACCCCAGAGACTCCACCTGACCTCACTGGTTGCAGGCCACGTGAGACCGCAGATGCCACCCACGAGGCGAAGTCGGTCGGCCTGGAGAGGTCCTGGAGTTTCGGTTCGGCGGGCTGAACTTCCAAGGGCGAAGGGCGAAGGCTTTTGGGGGAGTTGTCAGGACCCGAGATGAGCGGAGTGGTTGATGTTGTTCGTGGGAATCTCCAAGGTAATTGGAGTATATGTTGCTGCTTCATCATGTTAGCCACAAGCTTCATGAAGCTCCCCTTGTTTGGTCAATTATGTAGATGGGGTAAGCCATGACGCCACATGACGTAGCAGAATATTATGGATATCGGATAGCATCTCCAAAAATCTAATAGAATACAACTATTACCCCAGACCGAGCATGTTCCTGGTCTTGCTTAGGGTGATTGTTATTTTCCAATTTTCCTACATGAAGATGTTAGGGTGTCAAATGGATAAAACCAAGAAGCACCGATGCCTAGGGAGTCCCTCCAACAGTTGGCATACGGATTTACCACGATACGATTTGCACTCACCGACTCACAACATGTTCCGCGAAACATGGTGGAGAATGAGCCCTGGGAACATCGGATGGTGAGTCGGTTCTTGAAAGGAGTCATGAAGGCCCTTGATTTATAAAATCACCCTCAGACATGGCACTCACAGAAGCAGGTCTTGGGGGGTTTCGAAAGTCCATCCCTTGCCCGCTAATTTGCAGCGGGTACGGGCATAATTAGAGTAATGTGAGACACTCTTGACATGGTAGAAAAGACATACATGGATGGCAACACCTCTTCAGGCTTAGGGGGTGTTGATCTAAAAGTCTACCTGAAGCCACCAGGGACGCCGTTCGAGTTCCGTCCATCCGTCACCAGGCCGGTGCCCAAGGCCAAACCTGAACGAACCGGCTTTGCCCTGCACGGGGGGGCCCAAGCTGCGAACGTGAAGGTCGGCCAGATTTGATGCCATTCAAGGTTCACATGATTCACACCAGCTGCTTCCTAAGGGGTTAATTACTTGACAACCCTACGCTACGTAAACAGGCCTCCAGACAGGGCACCCATTGGAAGCTGCGAATCACATGCATGTGGTGCTTAGGCTCGGTGGAGAGCTGGCGATCACTGGCCGAGCGAGGTGGAGGTGTTCCATGTCTAAGACATGGTTCCATGCAGCACCTTCCAAAGTAGACAGCACAATCCAGAGGCCGAAAGGATTCTTCCGTTGGATCCTCGAGGATTCTTCCGGTTTTGGTATGCCATGAAAACCGTTCTCAACAAAAACGAACCACTATAAAGACACATTGACACAACAACAACAACAACAACAACAACAACAGCAACAACAACAACAACAACAACAACAACAGAATTCAACCCAAACGTCCTGAAACTCGGTTCAAAAGGACTATAGCCACTTAGCCACTTAGCCTATAGCCTATACACTCGCTTTAGCCGCCTAGCCGCCTTTTGCCGCCCCGACCCTTCGACCCCTTGGGCTCTCCGCGAATCGCCCCGAGGCTTCACGAATCGACCAGCGAGGATGAGGACGACGATGCCCCGATGCCCCGACGCTGCCGAACGCCGAACGGGTGGCCGCGGGAGGTCTGTGGAGAGCGGCGCGGAAGGTCGAGGGAACGGTGCTGGTCTGGTCTCGGAGTGGCTGGTGTTTGGTGGAAGTACACGTGGGGATGTACAGTACTCGTACATATTGGAAGTGGAAGATGTCCGTGGTTTTCTAGGGGAAACGTAGGCGTTTTCATTCAGGACCAGGCTGTCCACTTTGATGGGAGACGGAGTACGGTGCACTCTTGCGCGGACGGATGGGTGATGGGGGCGGAGGTTGTGATGAGGGGCGTGAGAGGGACATGAGGAGGATGTGCGACAAATGTGAGTTCAGCTGTGGCTTGGGGTTGATTTGGTTGAACACGAATGGTCGCACCAGCTCAGCTGAACACATTTGGTGAACACATGGGTTGATGTTTTGGTGCAGTGGATGATTTGGTGGAACCCCATTGGCAATACAGGAACGTCTAACTGCACCTCCCAACGTCTCGACCAAAGCCGCGGTGGCTTGAATGGTGAAGGCTGAGACCTTTGTAAACCCAGCCTCGTGAGGCACATCTTAGGCACCTCCTACCGGGAAACCTGAACAACCAAGCAGAAACAAGTCTGGATGGAACTCCCCAGTCCCAGCCTCTTCCCATGCTTTCAGGATCTCAATCAAGCAAGCTGTTTTGGGTTCCAACCAGAACTATTTCTGGTTGGGACTGGGTTTCCAGACAGGAGTTCTTCGGTCAAAGACAAAAACCCCCTGGAAACGGAGGTTCAACTGGAGCTGCTTGGGGAATCTTCTGCCACCATTGGTGTGCCGTTCATTCATCCGATGTTGGGGCTCGAAGGCATTACCCCCCCTCCCCCGGCCCGTTGGCTGCGCACAGCTTGTGTGGTGGGGTGCCTCAGGAGGAGTTTGGCCTGCTTTGCTGAGCATACATGAGCTGGAGTGAATCCTGCTTGGGTTCCTCATGGTTTGTTTAATTGCAACAGGTATTGGTCCTGGTGCTGACCTTGGGGGCGAAATTGATTCCCTGAGCACGATTCGATCGTAAGACACCGTCAGATTGTGCGTGGGAACTCACGCACACACCACCCAAGTACTGTAGGGAACCTTCCATTACATGCAGGCCGAAGCAGTAGAGCTGGATAACAAGCTGCCTTAGCTGCCTTTCGAGGCATGAGTTCAAACCAGGCTTTGCGTTCAACACTTGTTGTTGTTGTTCTTCCTCAATGGTATTACAACAACACCGGGAACCTTGCGATTCTCCAGGCTTGCAACCTGCCGGTGCCCGCAACGGCTCCCATTTGTCGTTGGTTTCGGACCGGTTTTGTCGCCGTTGCGTCCGACGGAGCCGTCCAACGCGGTTCGGCACCCTGCGGCGGCTCCGCGGCTCTCGACGAGTACGGTGAGTTCCTTGGCGAAGCACTAGGTCGAGAGGAACTGCAGTGAGGTGGGTGTACGAGTAGAGTGTTAGAGTGCCAATAGGCACAGCAGGTTGACGACCATAGATTCATGTAGATTCTCTAGGACAATTTGTATAGTATAATATAGGTATAACAAAAGACATCAAAAGACGTATAATTACTAACAGGGCTCCATCAAAGACATATATATATATAGGTCTATTAGGAGTATCTCTATAGACATAGCACTCCTTTACTTCACAGAATTAGCCGACATGTGCATGTAGCTCCAGTTGGCTCACCTTGGGCCATTCGAAGGCTTTCCAGGTTCCCAGAAGGCGTCAGTGAGCAGTGAACATGTGAGATACAACGGGCACAAGTGATCCTCCGAGTTTCTCTATGGCAATGCTCGTGGAGCGGGAAGAGTGGCTGAAGTTCCTTGGCGAACGGATGTATATATAGACCCTAGAAGTCCAAAGACTATATTTTGACTGACTGAAGTAAAGGACATTCCTCTTCGTGTCACCTAAAGACTATTCTTTTTATAGTCTTTGACTCCCAGGGTAGAGCTTTGGTGCGTTGTGGAGCCGGGTTGATGTGTTAAAGAAAACTAGGAGACTCTAGTCACGAGAATACATGAACCATTCATGCACCCAATTCTTAATTGAAATCCGTGCCACCTGTAGCCAGTAGCTCCATGTTGCAATCTTGGCCAGCCAAAGGCTGTCCAGTACAGGTCACCTGAACATGTGAACCAGAATGCATCAGTGGCAGAACACGTAAGAGATCCCACTATTTTCCATATGTATCATATTTTTCCATATTTTCCAGTCAGAACCAGGTGATATATTGGTTACTTAGGTGATGGTTTCGGATATTTTTATTTTCAACCCTTACTTGGGGATGATTGGACCCTCTGACTAATATTTTTCAAGTGGGTTGAAACACCAACCAGACTCAGATTCAATGCCAATAAGATTCGTCAGCAACTTCCACAACAGAGGCCTGTCCAATGCAGTTTCCAACTTTGAATAGCACGAGCTGTGTGGTGGTGTCGTGTCCTTTCCCAGGACAACTGCGTGCGAGTTGGTTGAAAAGCTGCGAACGCTGGACTTGCGCTATGTCGGGGTGAATGTGGAGGACCTGAGGGCGATACTGTTCAACCCCAGCCGGTGGACGCAGGAGGATGCACAGCAAGATATCCGGTTGATCGAGGAGATCGTCGACTTGCTCGATCAATTCCCCCAGATTCGACGGACTGACTCGATAGACGAGGATTCCTGGACGCTTTGCGACCTGCACGGTTTCGGGTGCACTCGCTTCGGCCCGAGCATGTGCCCCTGCAGCCAAATGGTGTGGGAGGTGCTTAGTTTGGAAAACATCGATGAAGTCGGCGAGAAACTCCAATCCATTCAAGAGGACCTCGTGTCGAGGGTCAATGCCTTCACATCCTTCCACGAGTGCTACCGACACACGGCTGAGCCGCTTCCGGCTCTCGGCTTGCTATTGGGGCTGATCAAATGGGAGGCGGGCGAATGGGATTACTGGGTGCCATCATTGAAGTGGAGTGGCGAGGATGAGCTGGAACATCCATTGTTGCTCGAAGCATGTACGGAAGCATTGGAGCTCCTTTGTTTGCTCGTCCAGGATGCCATGGATGTAGTAAGCCAATATATTTGGAGCCAGGGTCCGAGCCACAACGCGATGAAGTATGCGTGGGTTCACTACTGGCTGTACTTAGATGATGGTGACGTGGAGGAATCGAAGACCCTGGCGACTCTTGGAGAAGTGAGACAAGAGGTGAGAAGATCCATGGCACTGAGGTCTGTGAGGCCACGCGTTCAGGATTGCAGAGATGCACAGGTTCTGGCCGAGCCTCGGGCTGCATTTGGGTCTCCAGCAGCTCTTATATATACATCATACACATACCAGACATACCAGCACCTTCCAACAGGTCTCCGAAATGCAGGGTTGTTAGGCCCTAACAGGTTTCAATTGGTGACCTGTTGGAGGTGCTGGTAGTCTTACCAGTGGTTTTGTGTTTGATGCTCCTTGGCCGTCCATGGCCCATATCAATTAAAAGTCAGGAGCACTCGATGCAGTTGCCGCAGCGGCTGGAATCTTTACGGTTATGTTTTTGCTGGTGTTTCTGTTTTCTCACACATTTGAAGCCCAAAGCCAAGGAAGTCCGTTCCCTGAAAGAGTCCTTGATTGCGGGAAGACTGGCTGAGGTTCAGCGGATAGGAAGTTTGCAGCCGACGTTGACCATCATAGATAATGCACATTGAAATGCATTTGTCAAAATCAAAAGCAAGACGTTGCACTTCACCTAGTGGCCTGGTGGAAACAGAGATAGTTTGACAATCCATTTTGGCAGCGCATGTGTCATACTACTACCAGCATCAAGGTGTAGGTCTTCGCCGAGTGCGTACTAGTGAGTATGTCAAAGACAGGCATTGCAAAGCAAGCCTTGGGTTTTTGGGGCGGGTGTGAGGTTGCACGTTTGGGCAGCTAGAGTTCCCGAGCGTGAAGGGGGCAACAAGGATTTGGCGTCCAAAACGGGCAGCGGAGGGATAGCGCGCTTGCGATAGCCAGGGAGAAGCTTCAGAAGGCCAACCAGGAAGTGGCAGAACCATCAAGGACTTGGAGGGTCAGCTCAGGCAGCAGCAGCAATTTCTTGCTGCGAAAGTCATTGAGGTGGAGAAATCTACGTCACGTGCCCACTTAGCTGAAGCCATGTCTGAAGAATTTCAAGGCCGGATTTGGGATGGGAAGGGAACAACAGGGCGGGTGGCAGAGTGGGTAATTAAAGCTTCCGGGTGTTTTCTGACCGCCTTGGCTTCCGGCGTGGGAACGTAAGCGGAAAGGGTGCAGGGTTGCAAATGCTAAGAGCAGCAAGAGCACGGGCTTTGTGTTGGGACTGGTGTATTCAGGCATCGCCAGGCCAGTAGGTCCAAGAGCGAAGGCTAAAGCTATACATGTTGATGGTTATACCTCCCACATATGGATACATATGATTCATGTGTGGTTCTGCCGTCACAGCTTATTTTGAAGGCGATTCTAGGCGAAGCGTTTGAACAGCTGTAGATGTTTGTTCGATGGTGTGGATTCTGCGTTCGAACAAACACGCTGCAGGTGCATTGGAGGCGGCAGAAGAGGAGCAAAAGCTGGGATGGGGAGGGTGTTAAGAGTTTTTATGTGTAGGGAGTTTCCACAGGTGGAACAGGAAAAACTGAGGCCTTGAGCTGTTTTCTGTCAGGAGAATCTCAAGCTGCAGAAGGAGTTGAAGAAGTTGAAGTTGGAGAACCGAATTTTGAAGATGAGGGAGCAGAAGGACATGCAAACAAAGGCCTTGAAGACCAAGAGATTGAAGGACTTGGGCAGTACAACTGCCAAAAGCAGGAACCCTTTCATATACAACGGCTCTGTTGAGTGGACATGTCACTTGCCGTTCATAGTTTTACTGTATAGATTGTATAGGCGGTTTAGTCAAGGCCTCTATTATTTTGTTTTGTTGCCGGGGACCAGCAGGCGGGAAAGATATGGACAGGTTTCGCACAGAGTCCCACCACAGGAGCCGATGCGCCACATTCTTGAAGGCCCAGTGGAGGGAGCCGATGCCGACGGCTCGGATGGATCGTGGACAGATCTTCAGAAAGATCAGAAAGGCAGCGAGACTTAGCTCATTTTGGTTCGCCTCTCCTGGCGCTGCTGCAGCCGCTTCAGATCTTGTTCAATCCTCATCAAAAACCAAGGGTTCGTTCATGTTCGTTCGTTTGTTTGTGGACCACCAGTTTGAGTATGCATGGGTGAAGAAAAAGCATTCACTCGCTGAAGAATGGAAGATGCTTCTTTCAGCACTAAGCTCTTGACTTAACGGAGCCCGACCCGCAGCCGAGACCAGGAAAGCTCGGAGGATTCTTGCTGTTTCATGCTAGATGAGCTCTTCCAGATGCATGGTGGAACCTTCTTGAGCAGCCAGCATTTGCACCTCGGCTCTGCGGAGGACGGAGGAGAATCGCCATGTTTTGTTTGATGCCTTTTGTCCATAGCCTCAAACCGCAACAGTGGAAAGGAGAGACCCTACATTGGAGGGGAACTGGGGCCTCAGATCCGGCATAGAGGATGTCCAGGGGTTGTATTGGCCTTTAGGGAGAGGGATGAGGAGGATGAGGGCCCCACGCTGGGAGGAGGGAACTTCGACCGAAACTTCTCCCTTGCGCCCAGGTTCGCGGGCGCCCACGTGGTGGCTGCAGATGGGAGCTTTCTGCGGGTGGCCTGCGCTCCGGCGATCCAAATGGCAGCGGATTCAGTGATTTTGGAAGCCGATGGAGATCCCTGGCGCTGGACAAGGGAGGTTCAGCCAACAGTTCCGCTCAGCTTCACTGTTTAACATCGTTTGAGTGACGAGTCATGACCGTGAGAGAGAGAGAGAGAGAGAGTGATCCGTGGTTTTACAGGATGTTACACCAAAATCACCTTGTGTTTTGTTCCCTGGAAGGGTGCCCACAGATGACTTAGGTTCTGGTAAAAACTTAAGCTATTGCTTATCCACGGCAAATCTTTGTGTGTTGGTGTGGTGCTTTGGTTGGGTGGTGGTACGGTACGTTGCTCAAGAATGAACCCATTACACATATATATATATATATTTATAGATTATGTTTATATACTGTAGTTATGATTATGGCATTAACATGCATTAACTACTTGTTTGACTGCCCAAACAGCAGGGAAAGAAATGCTCACATGAAGCTGCATCATGTTTAGTTTACGTGTGAATCTTTGACCATATATGGAGTGTGGATGCGTTGGCTTGATGTTCACATTGATCATGAGTATGCAGATGTTGACAACATGATACAACACGTATTCCCTGGCTTTGGATGCCCTTATTTTATCGTCCGGACTAGTTTTCCCAGCTGCGGTGGGAAAAGAACTGTTGCCTCATAAAAGGTACACAACGCTGCACCTTTATTGAAATTCAGCACACAAACATATCACAACATCGGCGTTGAAAGCATGGGGCCTTCGTTCTCGCGCCCTAAATCGACTTGCACGGGATCAATCCAAGCAGTGAGTGCTTCGCTTGAAATGCCTTGAGGACCCGATCGCCAAGCTGCAAGTCACGCCGGATCACCGTATCCCTTGCGCATCCGGCGAGATTGCTGCTTGGTCCGGTTAATGTTTGATCCTGATTAGTAAATAGGGGCTCCCCCCCTAGCTAAAAGATTGGAGGGGTCTCTACAATAAACTAGTACCAAAACAATTCTGGATTCCTGGTCGACTTCCTTTTGCAATTCAATGTTGTTCATTTTCCTTTCATAGATTGTATTCAGTTTCCTTTCTCAGGTGCTTTGTAGTTGTTCTCAGCAATCCCTCTGCTTTGCAGCCTCAGGATTGCTCTTGAAATTGATGGGTTTGGAAAGCTGTCAGTTTTGAAGAAATCCTAGAGAAACCTGTCTCAGTCAATGAATCAGAATCATTGGCCTCAGCAGCTAAGTTAAAAGAAAATTCCATGAACAGATCTATTTTTCCTCTGGAAAAACTGCACAATTGAGACCCCTTTAACAAATATCTTATTGAGGATCAGGTGCCTTCCTGGTCTACTACCTTGAAGAATTGTTTAGGAGCAATCTTCACATAAAGGATTGCTCTTGGAATTGATGGGGTTGGAAAGCTGTCAGTTTTGAAGAAATACTAGAGAAACCTATCTCAGTCAATGAATCATAATCATTGGCCTCAGGAGCGCTAAGTAAAAGAATATTCCATGAAAAGATCTATTTTAAGGCTCGGGTTTTAGTTAATTAACATTTTGTTGGTGGTCTGTTCGTTTGTGTTTTGCTTTGCTGCTGGCTGCTTGCCTGGGAAGGGAGGGGGGGGTGCAAGTGGACAGGGTTCATTTGGAATTCAATCCCTTCTCAAGGTCCAATACAAAAAATTAGGGTGCCCCAAAAAAGTTAGCATTATTCAGACCCAATTTTTCAATAGGGGTGGCTGGAAAAATTTTGGAACATTGCACTATTGAGGACCCATTTACTAATCAGGGTCCAACATTAAGGGGACCCGGCCAAAGGACCTCCTCCTGGTATGTGGGGTATGTTGGAGGCAACAGTGCACATGGAGCCTAGACTGGCCATGGATACAACTGTGGGATTTTTCAATTATACTTTATACGACATAATTATGTGTGTACGCACGAGGATTTTGAAGATGTGCCCTCCCAACCGATGCCCACCCTCTCATGATTTTCCTTTGCTACCTCCTCATCAGAACTGGATCGCACTTGATTTGTCAGATAGGGCGCGTCGGCCTGGCTGGATGGCCAACAGATTTCTGAGACATAAGGTCCTGAGAAGGAGGTCTCCTCGAGAGTTGTGTTGAGATGTTTATGTGCACATGCCTTTTTGGATCTTTTTGGTGTGATTATAATTAGCTGTTTTGAAGCCAGGCGGATTGGAGGGGTATCATGGGTATCGAAGATCTATGACCTGGTTTTTTCATGATCTTGCTTGATATAGGTGGGGAAACAGGTGGGGAAACACGGGCAAAGCACACACTAAAAGTATTATGGTTATCATTGAAGGGACTCCCTCCCCCTGCACTTACATCAAGCCTTGATTTTTTTTCTACAGCTGTCATTACCCATTCCTTCCCGAAAGAAGAGCATTTCGTGGGCGATTCTTTGGCCGCCCAGGTTCGTGCATGCCGACTCCAGCCCGGCGACACGGTCATGGTGAATGGTGAAGAAGCCAAGTTGACGAAGGTGCAAATGGTTCCTGGCCCTGCCTCTTGGTTTGACAGACACTTCTTCGACCTGAACTTCCCAGTACTGTAGTCCCCAAAACATATTCCAGCACTCAGCAGTAAGATGCTTTTGGTTGGGAGAGACGTTTCGGTCTTTTTTTTCGGTTTTCGCATGCCGTGTGCGAGTGGTGCGAGTTTCTGTCGTGCTTTTGTGAATTGTGAGGGGAGGGCAATCACCCAATCCCCCAACTGTCATCCAAGAAGTGCGTGCTTGGCCTTTTTGGGGTGGAGTACGTAGTCTATGCATTGGGGGTGTCCTTTTACTGTACTTGTCACAGTGGGTAGACAATAAGATATTCAGAGAAAGGCCTTTTCCAACCATCATCATCCACTGCTTCAAGGAATGGGATATACTGTATACCCAATCCATGCAGTGCATGTCTCCACTGCATGGCCGAACTTAGAAATTAGCTAACTGGGCACACCCCACATTTAGCATGAATTCCTCCATTGATCCCAAACGTGGATACCTATGTTTGCCAGATATGCAGGGAGTTATCAGGGGCACGGGATTTTTCCTCACCGAGGTACAATGTGTGAAGATCATTTTCGATTCCCGGCAGGGTTTGAAGGGGTGGACCTGAGCGGAGGCACCGCGGTTGGACCTGGGCGGAGTCGCTGGACCTGGGCGGAGTCGCCGGTCTTTTTGGGGTGAAGCCGGTGACCAGCTGGTTGGACCATTTGCTCCAGCAAAACTGGCCAGCACTGAGTCGTTGGCAGATGTTGTGTCATCGAGTCTTTAAGTTTCAGGAGAGCTTAGTTCAGAAGTGTCAGCTCGTGGTTTTGAATGACGTGAATGGTCCCTTTGCAGCTCCGCCTTCTTTATGGAAGCTAAGCTCTGTCACGTGGCAGCAGGCCGCATCATGCGACACCAATCTGCGTAATTTTGATGATGGTTTATCATAGCGTATCAACGACATTGCCATGTAGGTGAATGGATTTGTATGGATTTGTGGATTGGTCGTGTCAGTGTGGGCACATCGGACTGTAGCTATATTCTTTCACACAACCATACACAACCAGCCACAACGTTTCAATCTTCTCTTTTTCCCATGTTGAGTGCGGAAGGCTTTCCTTCCTGGCAAATGCTTCACTTGTCCGAGGGTGAGTGAGCCTTTTTGTCTGCTGAATTTGGTGGCGCAGCCGGGTCGGTAGGTAACTTGTTTCCCGCTTGTCGCGGGCGGTTGTTGGTCATCAGCCTTCAGCTGAGGATTCCGACAAGGCCGTCGGCAGCTTCGCGGCGCCGCCCAGCATCTGGTCCCATGGGGGGCAGCAGAAGAAGACACGCCGTGGCGGAGAGAAGTATCAAAAGGCCAAGGGCTCCAAGGGATCCAAAGACGGCGACTCGCCCCAAAGACGTGATGCCGGGGAGGGGGCTGGTTCTTCCTTTTTGGGAGGTCAAGTCTAGGAGGAACCTTTGGTTTCCTCATCCCCATGAATTATTCCCCATTGGTGAACGTTGCGAGCGGCCTTTTTCCTTATAGTTCAGCTCGAATCGTTTCTTCTATATACTGTCTAGTTCTTTTGTGTAGATTGTTTTTGGGGTATGCCTCTGTGGAACTTGGCTTCGTGTTCACCAAGCGCGTTTTCTGTTGGCGTTCACACTGCGGTTTTCTTTCAGCTCCCGGAACTATTTGGTGTTCGCATTGGGCCGCGTGACCGTCACGGTCTTCGATCACCGGATCGCCGGATCGATCTAGCACTTTGGGTCACAAGGTTTGTTCCATCCATGGATCATCCATGGGACTGGAATAGTTATATACCTACATCGGGGTCTTAAATGGGGTAAAGATGGGTAACTATTCCAGTCCCATGGATGGTCTGGGCGTGGCAGTTCTGATGCTTTCATGTGATTCGGCTAGCGGACCATGACTTGGAAGGCAAGACTCTAGCGGATGGTGAGGTTTCGCATAGCCCATGATGAACCACAACTAAGTAGACCATTCCCATTCCCATCTAACATTTAGCCCATGATGAGCCCATAGCCCATTGCCCTTGGGCAAGGAAACAGACGTTTCTCTCGAGAATTCCTGATCACAGTCCCCAGCGACGGACGCCTCAGGTGGCGACGACACTCGGAGCATCCCCGACACCAAGTGCGAGTACTCGGATTGACCAGGAGCATTTGGAGGGTTTTGGCGGTCCAACATCCCACAGGCCAGGAGGGCATTTCCCAGACACTCCCACAATGTGTGCCGTACTTTTCCTACCTTGGGGTGGTTGGGGGGGTCAACTGTAGGCATATATGGCACAATATGGCATACAGGAGTGTCGGTTTGGATGGCATGCTTTGGTGGTTGGGGGAGATCAGGGGGATCACTGTGCAAGGCTTTTGTGGGAGATCCTGCCCTTTTGAATATGGCCTGTTGTTTAGGGACGCCAGTCAGGTCACCAACCTTGACTGCCAGATTGTGCCAAGGGCCAAAAACCCAGGGTTGGTGGAATTTGGAATAACTTTGTTTGTTTCAACGCTACTGGGAAGGTGGATGTGTGTGGAGTGCTGATGCCCACCCAGTCCAAGGCTTTTCTTCCCCAAGTTTCGTAGAGGGGGTTGTTTGTTGCTGATTCACTTTCCTGGGATGGAATGACAGAATTCATTTGGGACCCCGGCTTTAGGTGTCAAACGAGCTGAGAGGGGCATGCTGGATGTCAGGTGGTTCATGTTGTGCGAAAAGATCTCGCCCAGGGCAAAGGTTTGTGCACAAGTACGGAGTTTCCCTCAAGCACATCCACCCTGTAAACTCTTTGAGAGATCATCCTTTGGCCAGAACCCATGAGATTCTATAGAACCCATGAGATTCTCACTCTCTATAAAACGGCAGCACCTATATAAATATTGTTTTACGCGGACATGGCTTTCATGGTTCGATACAGGTGGAATCATGTGGAATCAGTTTGACGCAAAAGTGGAAATCCCATTATTTGCGTGCACAGGAGGAACCAATAGTTGGAACAGTCTTCAAAGGGTCCATACTAAA